GCTCAAACAGGGCCTAAATGATAGATTCATTTAAATACAAAGTCACATAATCATTTAATAGAGTATCATTTAGCCCATGTTTGTCTACCATTAATCCAAAAAATTGTTTACTACAGTAAGATTCTCCACCACATATTCACCCATAAAATATTCTACACACAAATCAATAAAGTTACTTTAATTTTCAACCACTCATTTTTCAAAAAATACTATTCATTACACTAATTTTCTCCCAATAATGGGATACAAACAAGCTATTAATGTCATGTAATTGACACAGACTGTGGTTCAACCCGAGTGGGGATGAATAACATTATTCAATTAAAAAATAAGAAAAAATTTAACTAAATATTTCATAAGATTCACAATTTTTTAATCATATATTTTATGAACTTCTATTGAAATTTACTAAAAATTTGATTTTAATCCATCAAACAATTGCTCTTTTATATTGTGGATGTAGATTAGGGGTTTAATCCTTAATTAATATTTCGAGAAATTGGCGGGCAATGTTAAAGAGCGCAGTGGGAAATTCGCCAGCCAAAACATTAGTGAGAGTTTATTAGTAATTAAAAAGAAAAAAAAAAGGAAAGTATAATAAAGGCCAGAACTACTACCTTCGTTGACTGTTTGATTGAAAGCAAATTACAGTCCGGGGAGAGAATTTCTCGAAGCGATTGCAACTCGCAAGAAATTGGTCGGAAGGCTTTTTCGATATGGCTCTGAAGTTTCTGAACAAGAAGGGATGGCACACGGGTAGCCTCCGCAACATTGAAAACGTATGGAAAGCCGAGCAAAAGCATGATGCCGAACAGAAAAAGCTTGAGGAGCTTCGCAAGCAGATTCACGAGGAACGAGAGCGTTCCGAATTTCGCCAACTTCAGGAACAAGCTGGCCTTGTCCCGTAAGTTTTAACTATTTTCCCTAATTTTTATGCGTTTAGGGTTCGAAATTTCGAATTAGGGCTTATAGTTTTTCTCTTTCATTCCTTAACAGAAATTTTGAATTAAGAAAATCGTTTGAATTTTTCCAATTTTACGCTGGGTAATTTGAAATTATGGAAGTTTAATTTTGCAGGAAGCAAGAGCGTTTGGATTTTTTATATGATTCAGGATTAGCTGTTGGGAAAGGGGGTTCTAGTTTTAAAGCACTTGAATCCTTACCAAGGACTGATCCTGAGAACACTGCCTCTTCCTCTTCGGCTGCCACCACTAAGGTAATTTCTTTGAATTGCAGACTGAGTTTTTCCCCACTTTATGTGGATCGTTAATTTATATGATAATTGCTAATGTTATAGCAGCAGCAGCCATCGGCACCGGGGGCATTATTTGAGGAGAAACCACAAACAGCTAATGATGCCTGGAGGAAATTGCACTCAGATCCGTTGCTTTTGATTCGTCAGAGAGAGCAGGAAGCTCTTGCTCGTGTGAAGAATAACCCTGTCCAGATGGCCATGATTCGAAAATCTGTAAGTTCATTATTGCACGTTATTCATGTGATTTCGAAAGAATGGTAAGATGTGAATGTGGTGTTGTCATATCATACCACATGCTCTAGTTGAAATATTATTGCAAAGTCAAGTAGTTAGGATTATGTTTAGTGGCATCAGACTTTAATAATTTGTTTATTCTATGCTGACATGGATTGGAATGCCATATTAGGGCTTATAAGGTACTGTATGAAACAGTTTACCATGCTAACCATCATAATGCGGCAGTAAAGCTTATTCTGGTGAACCTGACATCTCAAGCCCCTTTACTGTATTGCATTAGATTTCTATTAGATGCATTTTTAGTTAAAAGAGAAATTATTCACATCTGCTGTCTTGTTCTCATCAGAATGAACATCTAGTTGTATTTAGCTTACACTCATAGCTATATTTCTATATCATGTTTTTTTGACGTAGTTGATTTCTCTCTAAGTAATTCTTTACTGAGCCCACTTTCCCTTTGAGATGATCCACAATCAAAATTATATACTAGTCTTGAAATGTCTACATGTGTGTTGGTTGGGTGGAAGGGTTTCTGCTCTGAGGTTCTACAAGCTGTAGCATGTGGGTGATAGAAAGGAATTGACTATCTATTGCTCCTGGCATAATCTGCGAAAAGATCCTTGGCATATTTTGTTTTATACTTGAACTTCTATATTAGTAGTGATTTTGCTTTGAGGTTCTTCTCCATGAGTTTCTTTTTGGGAAATATCTGATTGGTGAGTTGTACCTTTTGGCGTCTCAGTATTAAAAGTGCACCTAATATTCATTCACAGAGGATTCCTTGAAAAAACCAATTTCCTTTCTTAATTCTTTTGTCATTTAGATCCAAAGACCTTTGGTTTTGTTTCGTGGAGACTGTACTTGTTGAATGTAGCATGTTATACCGTGTTGAGAGAATTTATAATGTTACACTGATGTGCATAACTCAGGACCTTTGTAGAACGCTAACTGATTCTGACCAATTATCACTTTCCAGGTTGAAGCAAAGAAGCCCAAGGAAAAGAGACAGAGAACGAAAGATGAGAAGAAAGGGAGAAAAAAGCATCACCACAAGAAGTCTAAACATCAGAAACATTCATCTTCAGAAAGTGGCTCCGACTCCGAAGATACGGCTTTGCCAGAGGACAGAAGAAGAGATGCCAGTCATCACAAGGCCTCAAAATATGACAAGGCTTCACATAAATCATCCCGGAATCTGGATGAAGAATCAACTGAAGGGGACGTTTATAGAAAAAGAAATTATCACCAGGACGACATAGAATGGAGACCTGCTAGCGACCATGATCTGAATGTTGACAAGAATGAAGAACAACATAGAAGCAAAAGGAATTATGACGACTCTCAATGTAAAGAATATTATTCAGACCGACGGGTGGAATCTTGTCATGACAGGAAAAGCCATTTTGATTCTTCTGATAAACCACCAAGGCATGACAAAAATAATAGACGTCGAACTTCTGTTAAGCTTTCTGGAGAAGAGAGAGCTGCTCGGCTGCGGGAGATGGAAATGGATGCTGCTAGGCATGAAGAGCAAAGATGGAAAAGACTAAAGAAAGCAGAGGTGAATGATGCTCAGGAAGCCATTCATGACTCTGCTTCTCTGGGAAGGAACTTCCTCGATGCTGCTCAAAAGAGCATCTACGGTGCTGAGAAGGGAGGAAGCTCCACCATAGAGGAGAGTGTTCGTCGTCGAACCCATTATTTACAGGGAAGATCTGAAAGCGAAGGCAATGCTTTCCGACGCTGAGTCATGATTGTTAGAACAAACACACAAACGGCTTCCACCCAACTTTTGTAATGTAAAAATAAGACTTCTACATGCTATCTCGTTGTAATGGAAAATATTATCATGATCCAGCAAGATTACAGCTGCATTTATTGTATTAAAATTTGTTATGACATCGTACCAAAAACTACTAATTTTACTAGGATGTTCTACAGCCTCTCGCTTCATTAGAAATTTTTTGAGTATGTACAGAAGCACAAGGTGAGATTTTACCCATTTTTTGGCCTTGATTTTAATCTTAACATTGTAATGATTTTGATTAGTTTATTTTATGTGGATATTTTGTTTATTTATTCTTGATTTTATATTACATTTTTTTGTCTTAATTTGTTCATTGATTAATTTGTCAATGTTCGTTTCTTCTACAAATAGTGAATATATTTGTATGGTTGATGTGATGCCCTATAATGCAGTTCTCAATTATGAGTTTATTACAAACTAATCACTACCGATACCTTGTACTATTCGTACTAATATGTGCACAAGTCAAAAGCTAGTAACACTGTGACTATAGGATTTGATTGATTATGCACCGAAAGATTTATTGAGAAAACATAGTTTGTCGAGACATTATAGAATCAAATCGAAATTCCAATCAAGATGACTGAGAAATGTGACCAATACCTCAATTATCGGCTTCCAAGTGCAAAGATCCATTTTCTCTTCCTGGCTGAAGTGACCTTGTTGTGACTTGAACATGTGAATCTTTTCGCTGAGACAATAAAATGGGTCCCTGAATTAAAGCAAAATAGATATCTCAACAAATCAGGTATTCATCTCTATCAAGGCGGCCCCAGATTCCAGAAATCGATTTAAAACGTCATCCCTGCCTTGGCCAAATTAACAGTTGACACCACTTTTTTGATATAAATTCCCTGTTCGGAACAAATTTGGAAGCACCAGACAGCACTTGTAAGGAGTTTTGAGGAAATGATGTTGATTTTCTCTCTGCTTTTCACTCTCTTACTTGCAAGAACATCGTCAGTTCGAGTAATTCAAGGTTTGTTTATGCTTTTTCTTGTTTACGACTTACCTTCACGCTTGATCATATGTTATGGATTTAATGAATATTCGTTCTCAAGTCTTACCGCTTATTTCTTGTTTAGTTGAAGTTGATAGGCTTAAACACCCTGCTCTACACCTGCCTTTATATCATGTCCAAGGAAGGCACGACTCAGACCAGACTTCTGAGACTCCCCTGCCCTTTTCTGAGGCACTTGTTCTGGACAGGACTCGTGTTATGTACCTAAATGCTAGACTCGCAAAGAAAAACATGACAGCAGCTCATTCGGGACACTTGATTGAACCAAAATCTGTTAATGTTCCTCTAAATCCCGGGGTGTCACTTGGTATTGCAAATTACTATACCAAAGTAGGCCTAGGAACTCCACCAACATACTATCCTGTGGTAGTTGACACAGGAAGCTCCTTCTCGTGGATCCAGTGCGAGCCGTGTAAAGTGTATTGCCATCCACAAATCGGTTCCTATTTCAATCCCTCTGCTTCAAGGACTTATCAGCAGCTATCATGTGACACAAGACAGTGCTCCGCCCTGGAAGTAGCCACTCTCAACAAACCCGGCTGCACTTCTTCAAACGTGTGCATATATGTAACTACTTACGGAGACATGTCTACTTCCATTGGATACCTTAGTCAAGATTCATTGAGCCTGGGCACGGGACAGGCACTGCCGAACTTTGTGTTTGGGTGTGGACAAGACAATGAAGGCCTCTTTGGAAAATCAGCTGGTCTATTTGGCCTAGCGCGGAACAAGTTATCTATGTTTTCCCAGTTGTCTACCAAGTATGGTAATGTATTCTCTTATTGTCTCCCGACTAATATGCCCCTAGGAAAAATTGGCAGCGGTGGTTTTCTTTCCATCGGAAAACCTTCTTTGTCCTCGTTCAAGTTCACTCCGATGTTGTCTGAACCTCAAGATCCTACCTTGTACTTTCTAAAGCTCTCAGCTATATCAGTAGCTGGCCGTAAACTGGGAGTGGCAGAATCCGGCTACAGTGTCCCCACAATCATAGACTCGGGAACAACCATATCACGCCTAACCGCATCAGTGTATAAGGCCCTTAGACAGGAGTTGGTTCGGATTATCTCGTCCAAGCATCAAGTTACAGGAGCATATTCCATACTCGATGCGTGTTTCAAAGGGACTTCGGACGAGATATCAAAAATTGTTCCTAACGTTCAATTGATCTTTCAAGGTGGTGCTGGTCTTGATCTGGCGCCACACAATGTTATTTTAGAAGTCGAAAAAGGTACGACGTGTTTGGCATTCGCGAGTAATTCTGATCTTAGTGAAATCGCCATTATAGGCAACCAACAACAACAGACAATTGAAGTTGTTTATGACCTTTCCAATTCAAGAATTGGATTTGCAACCGGAGGCTGTCAGTAGTGAACAGTTGAATGCAGTGGATTGATGTCCCTTTGCTGGGATCTTACATATAAGTTGAATGTTGTGTGTAAAATTTATATTTTAGAAGATTATTGATGAATAAATGTATATTTGATTGTGTACAAGTACCCTACAAGTCAATTTGTAACTCCCACTTGGATGAAGAAAAATTATGTCATATAATGTTACTTTTGTGAAGTGAATTTGCACAGTTGGGATACAAATCTTTTGTGACCCGCTGCTATAGAGTCTCTCGACTATATTAGAAGATAGTGAAGCATCATGGCGGAAGTTTGAAGAGATAGAAGGTGAAATCGACACGAGGACGTAGTTATATTAAGTTGTTTTTGACCAACTTCGATGGGTTATGAAAGTTCTAATCTCCTTTGTGAGGAGATGATTTTAGTATATTTAGTTAATCGAAACTTAGAGATTTAAAAATTTAAGAAATATTTAATATTTTTTTTAAGACATTCTAAACGTATTATAATATTCAATAAAAACTTATATAGACTTTTAAAATTGTCTCGATATTCAATTAAAACTTTTTAAAAGTATCTATTAGTGTATTTAAAATGTCAATAACTTTTAAGCACTTTTATAAAAGTTTTGAGGTACTAACTTTTAAACAGAAAGTTAAAAAAAAAAAAGAGTCTAAAAAATGTCTCTCATTCACCCCAAGATTATGTACGACTTTCACTAAAGATTTTTTTAATATTTTTTTTTGTCTTTTTAATATTATTTTTCTGCTTTCCTTCTACGAACCTGGAGGCATGATTAAATATTTATTATTTATTATTCTAAATGTTATATTTGTTCTCTTTTCTTTTTTCCCCCTCTCTTTTATTGTTTATCTTCATTTTCTACGAAAAAAATAATAAATTTCAATTACAAATTTTATAACATATTTTTTTCCTACATCCAATTTTTTATATAAAAAATCAATTTTTAATTAAATTTTATATTAAAAAAGAATAATTTGTAATTAAATTTTAAATATATTGATTACAACACCCAAACTAAAATGAATAAAATAAAAGAAAATGCTAGACCCTTACCTTAAGGCCCTGTTTGATGTGTAATCTTTTCCATGAAATTAGGAAAAGATTTTCCATTTTCCACCTTTAGTTCATGTTTGATAGCAAAATTTTGCATGTAATTCATTTTCTCATTTTCACTCACACGTCCAGTTTTCCACCTTTTGAATTAATTTGTTTTCTCAATGTTTTGGTGGTTTTATGTTTTTCCAGTTTTTTTTTTTTTTTTTGGAATTTAAAA